CTGATCAGTGTTCCTCTCTCACAGCTCTCTCTCTCTCTCCCCGCCACCTTCTTCTCTCTCTAAAATCAGTGAGCATATCCTTGGGTGTGGAAAAAAATAATCATAATAATGAACTATTTTAAAAATTCTAATGCCCTAAGTGTTTCTAGTATAATTGTTCTTAATATTTCTTAGATCTGGCTCTACCCTGATTTGGAAAACAATATGAATTGCTAAGCAGCTGGCACAGCTGGTGAGGAGGTTTCAGGATCCCCAAAACTCCAGATAATGAAATGCCTGCTGGGTCCTAGGTGTTTTGTGCTTTCTTTTGCATGTGGATGTTAGGACAGAAAGATGAAGTTTGGAAAGCAAAAGCTAGTTTCCTGTAACTAATTTTCCACCAAAGTCTCTCAAAATGCTTATCAATAGCAAACTAGCTTAAAATAAACTGCATTAATATGAATGTCAAAAAAAACACGGAATGAACTACTTTCTAAGAAATAATTTGTTGCATTTAGCAGATAATTCACTTGTTTCTATTATTGAGGAATTGGTTTACTTACTGAAAAATAAAGTATTTAGCATCCTTAATTTATTTTTTAATATATTTTTATTGATTTCAGAGAGAAAGGTAGAGGGAGGGAGGGAGGGAGGGAGGGAGGGAGGGAGGGAGAGAGAGAGAGAGAGAGAGAGAGAGAGAGAGAGAGAGAGAGAGAGAGAGAGAAACATCAATGATGAGAGAGAATCATTGATTGGGTGCCTCCTGCGCACCCCCTACTGGGGATCGAGCCCACAACCCAGGCAGGTGCCCTTGACCGGAATCGAACCTGGAACCCTTCAGTTCGCAGGCCAACACTCTATTCACTGAGCCAAACCAGCTAGGGTCTTAATTTATTTTTAGAAGCATATAAATTGGAGCCAATTCCCAGTTATTTGATAAAATATTGCTGTGCTTACCATTGTGGTACAATTAGCAAATGGCAAAGGGTTAAAAAAATAATGTGGAAATCCTTCTCTGAATCCATATGATTTTCATTACTAATTAAATATAGACTGCTACACTTCAATCACAGATTCACTGACAGCAGCCCCTCATTTTGAAGATCGGACAGTTGAAACCCAGAGAATCTCATTAATTTCCCAAAGGGAGCCAAGACTAGAATTCTCATATGCTGAATCCTAATCTGACCCTTTTTCTACCATGATCCTCTCTTTGCCTTAATCACTGCATTCCTGACACAAAAATAGATTCAAAAGGACACATATGTAATACCCTTTGCAATACTTTAAGCAATAAAAAAAAAAAATGTAAAAAAAAAATAGATTCTGCACAATAAAGTTATTGTTATATTTATAACTAGATTTTTAAAAAACAGACTTCCTTTTTAGACCAATTTTAGATTCACAGAAAAATTGAGCATATAGTACAGAGAATTTATATTTATCTCCTGCCCCACACCCCCACACAGGCATAGTCTCCCACATTATCAACATACCCCAATAGAATGGGACACTTGTTACAATTGATGAGCCTAAATTGACTCATTATCACCCAAAGTCCATAGTTTACATTATGGTTCGCTCTTGGTGGTGTACATTCTATGGACTTGGACAAATGTATAATGACATGTATTCATCATTATAGTATCATACAGAGTATTGCACTGCCCTAAAAGTCCTCTGTGCTCCATCCATTCATCCTTCCCCCAACCCCTGGCAACCATTGATCTTTATACTGTCTCCATAATTTTTCTTTTCCCAGAATATCATATAGGTAGACTCCTACAATATGTAGCTTTTTCAGATTGGCTTCTTTCACTTGATAATATGCATTTAAGTTTCTTCCGTGTCATTTCATGGCTTGAGCAATCATTTCATTTTAGAGCTGAATAATATTCCATTGTCAGGACTTATCCATTCGCCTGCTGAAAGGCATCTTAGTTGCTTCCAAGTTTTGACAGTTATGAATAAAGCTCTATAAACATCTATGTGATGGTTTTTGTTTATACATAAAGTTTCAAGGAGAATAGTTGCTGGGTTGTATGATAAGAATATGTTCGGTTTTGTAAGAAACTGCCAAACTGTCTTTGAAAGTGGCTGTAGCATTTTGCATTCCCACCAACAATGAATGAGAGTTCCTGTTGCTCCACATTCTTGCCTGCATTTGGTGTTGCAGTGTTTTGGATTTTGACCATTCTAATACATGTGTAGTGGTATCTGATTCTTATTGCAGTTCCCTAATGACACATGATGTTAAGCATCCTATATAATAAAGAGGTGATATGCAAATTGACCGTCATGCCATCACACATGTGGTCACAAGATGGCTGCCCCCATGTGGTCGCAAGTTGGCCACCACAAGATGGCCAGCAAGGGAGGGCAGTTGGGGGCGATTGGGCCAGCCGGAGAGGGCAGTTGGGGGTGACCAGGCCTGCAGGGGAGGGCAGTTGGGGGGGGACCAGGCCTGCAGGGGAGGGCAATGAGGGATGACCAGGCTGGCAGGGAGTGGTTAGGGGGTAATCAGGCAGGCAGGCAGGCGAGCGGTTGGGAGCCAGCAGTCCTGAATTGTGAGAGGGATGTCCCAGATTGGAGAGGGTGTAGGCTGAGCTGAAGGACACCCCCTCACCCCAGTGCATGAATTTCGTGCACCAGGCCTCTAGTCCTATATAATAAAAGGCTAATATGCAAATAAACCCAACAGTGGAACAACAGGTCACTATGATTCACACTGACCACCAGAGGGCAGACGCTCAATGCAGGAGCTACCCCTTGGTGGTCAGTGTGCTCCTACAGCGGGAGCACCACTGAGCTGACCGACCCATCCAGGTGGCCAACCAGCCTGGCGGCAGCCACTCACTCCCTCTCACTCCCTCAGTAGTCCTGTAGGTCCAAACTCCAGAGAACAGGCCAGGCACTGACAAACCGGCACCACCAGCACAATCCCGACAATGCCGCTGGCCTCCTGGAAGTCAGCTTTGGGCATTGCAGCTGCTTCCCCTCCCTAGATGCTCTGCAAGGAAGAAACGATATAAAAGTGGCCACCAGGTAGCTCTCAACAGCCGGCGCGAATGTCAGTGGGACAGATCTCAATCCTGGGCCAGCAATCCTGCCTGCCCAGAGGGCTTATCCTGTCTCCCCCACCTCCCCACCCTACTTGGGACAGGCGCCAGAGGCAGGACTCACGGCTGGCAAGTACTCCTGCAGTGACACAAGCCTCTCCCAATCCGGACTGACTGGGCACAAGCCCACAGCAGGTGCAGCGGGGCCAGGATGAGCAGGAGCAGTAGGCAGGAGTGGCAGGTAGCATTGGACCTAGGGACCCCACCCGTGCACGGATTCGTACACTGGGCCTCTAGTCTTTTCATATGCTTCTTTGCCATCTGTATATTTTCTTTAGTAAGGTGTCTCTTCAGATCATTTCCCCATTTTTTTTTATCAAGTTGTTCATTTTCTTATTGTTGAGTTTTAAGAGTTCTTTGTATATTTTGGATTAACAGTTTTTTATCAGTTATATCCTTTGGAAATATTTTCTCCCAATCTGTGGCTTGTCTTTTTATTCTCTTGATAATTTTTTTTTTTTTTTAGTAAGATGAAATTTGGTACATATTATATTTGGGGAGGAAAGTAATAGTTGTGTCATCAGTGTGTAGATAAAGAGATCTCAACACTATTTTAGTACTTTGTCTGTAATAGGAAGCCCCTAAAATAGATACTGGCTACCTGAAGCATGGCTTTGTATTTTCAATGACAATGCTGTCGCACTGCCACCTTAGATGAAACAGTGATATGATGATGATGATGATGATAATGATGATGATGATGATGATGATGATACCAGCTAACATAGATTGCCAGGCTCTTTCTCAACTGATTCCATGTAGTAGCTCATTTAGCAAATAACTCATTAAAGTAGAAACTAGTTCTTTTCATTTTAGAAATGAAGACACTGAAATGCCTTCTGGTTAAGTAACTTGTTTGAGGTCAGATATCTGATCACGGTGAAGGGAGGATTAGAACCAGGCTATCTGATTGTAGATAGAGCACATGACCTTAACTACTACTGTAGTTTGCATGAATTAAAGTAATTTGGCTATTCTTCCCACTTCTTAATATAAATACAATTCCTGGGCTCCATCCCACTTCCCTATCCTTTATCATTTAACTATCATCTTAATCCACCTGGCATAGTTGTAAGTTATTGTGGGAAAATATTGTGTGGAAATACCATTAGACTTCTAAATATAGATGGTCATCGAGACGTGGGGCACAGAATGTTCACTACTGTTGTTGTCGGCTGTTCCCATTCGCACTATAAGTCACAGAGAACTTGAGTAACAATTTATTTTCCAAAAGGAAAAGTTCTGAAGATCGCATTTTCCCTGTGCTTGCAGACAATGTTAACAAGTTCGAACTGATTGTTCTGCTACCTAATGAATTTTCTAGGAGTACAGTGACCAAAAGTCTGTAAGAAATGCATCATGCCCTGGCCGGTTTGGCTCAGTGGATAGAGCGTCGGCCTGCGGACTGAAAGGTTCCAGGTTCGATTCCGGTCAAGGACATGTACCTTAGTTGCGGGCACATACCCAGTGGGGAGTGTGCAGGAGGCAGCTGATCGATGTTTCTCTCTCATCGATGTTTCTAATTCTCTATCCCTCTCCCTTCCTCTCTGTAAAAAAATCAATAAAATATATTTTTTAAAAAAAAAGAAAGAAATGCGTCACTATTGCATTTCCAGATATTGTATATTTCTCAAGGGGTTCATTTGCATACTGTTTTCCCATTAGATGTGCTCTGGGTTCATTTTATCATTCCATTTGTTAAAACAATTAAAAAGGAAACAATCCACACAAAGGGCATTTCTTTGTCAGCAGACCAGGAATTGATTCATTTATGAAACTCTTCATGCAGAAGCATTGCTTAGTGAAAAGATTCCGAGTGTGTTTCCTGTTATTCACACATAAAGTGTGTCAGGGGCCCTGCAGAACTAATTAAAATAAGGATTTGTGTGTGTGTCATTGTAGGCTAGAGGTAAAGAGAGACAGTGGCTCAGACACCAAGCTACTGGAGAACTCGATGATGCCAAGATCATTGATGGGCTGACTGGAGAGAAAACCATCTACAGACGCCGGGGTGATCTGGAGCCACAAGTAAGTGACAGTGATCGAGTTGCCTCCGATCCACAGAGCTTGGCCTTCTCTATAGACAGCTGCTTTCTTGAGTTGCTGTCCTTGTCAAAACACCACAAACCCTGAATATGGCAACCAAGGAAATTGTATTAAAAAATAAGGAAAAAAATTAATATTTTACTATTTATGATATGATTCAAGATCTCAGCATGAGTCAAGAAATACCAGACAAGCATACTCGAGTTGAGTAATTTAAGAACAGTTAATAAGACTATTTACAACAAAAGTAAGGGTCGGGTTTAGGAAATCGTAAGGAGATAGTGTGGTACCCAACTGCCGAAAGGCCGGAGGGCAAGAGCTCACTAGAACCAGGAGGGGCAGACTGACAGGAGCTATGGCCCTCAGAAGAGGGAGAGCTGTGGACCGCAGTACAGAAGGGACTGAGGGACCCTCTGATCCGGTGTCTCCCATCAGCAGAACCCACCTGGACGCCAGCAGCCCAGGGAGAGGATGGTGCTATCCTTGCAGATCAGCCCCCAGGATGCGGAGCAGGGGGCACCAGAGGGAACTGAGGACCCTTGGAGTCTGAATCCCAGAGGCTCATGCAAATGGAAACACTAGAGTAGTCTTGGTCTGCTCCTTTAAAGATCGGTGTCCAATCTATGACTGAAGAAAATTTTAGAAAGAGAGCGATTTTCCTTTATATAACTCTAATGTAAATATATGTAAAGCTTTGGATAGTCATAATATTAAAATATTTTCAAAACAATGGCAATAAGGTGAAACACTGAGTTTCTTGGCGGGCCCTGTGCCTCCCTTTATCCCTGAATGACCAGAACTGTTGAATTGCCACTGTGAGCTGGGGGAGCAGGGACTGGTAGGGAGAGGGAGTCACTTACTCCTTTTAAAGTTTATTCAGAGTATCCTTGGGTAACTTGGGGAGTTCTCCTGTGTCACTGGTGTGAGTCAACAGCCACTGTCTTTACTGACTCACGGTGGCCAGCAGATGTGTTTAGACACATGTGAAGTTGTGAGTGGCCCTGGAAGCACGCGTGGCACTGCTCTTCCTTCATGCTGACTCCACACATGTTTGAGGAATACGTTTAATTTGTCTCAAACCATTACACTAATACCCACAATATTTTCTTAAAATTACTAACTCTACTCATTAGTTTTCACACACGTCAGCAAATATATAATTACAGAATAGTCTGGAATTTTTCTTCTTCCTTTTTTTTTTTTTCTTGTAAGTAAACTAAAAAAGTGCTTTCATTTTTTATTCTGAAAATTGCCAGGCAAGAGTCCAAAATCAAACTGAAACTCAGGAGAGTTTCACATTTTAATTGACAGTTGTTGCTAAACAGCAGTTAGATGTTACTTTTATGCCTTTAACTGCCAACGAGAATAAGGAGAAGTAGTAATTCAGAAACTGGAAGGAAGAGAAGACCGGAAGCTTAGTAAAGACAACGGCACTGAAGAAAATTCAGTGACACCCCTCTCACAGAGCCTGTTTTAAGAGTCTGGCTTTTTTTGTGTGTGGACTCTGTGGAAAATGATTTTCAGATCATTACACATCAGGTACAAGTAAAATTCATGGGGCTTCCACAATAGCTCCATCTTGCTGGAGTAACTAAGTCTGAGGCATGACGTGAAAATGGCATGTTGGGGTTTCTATCTTCCCAGAGAATAGAAGACGGCGTCAGCTGCATTAAGGCAGTTTACTAGACTAGGTCAGGTCTTGAAAGGACTGTATATTCCAAAAGAAAATCTTTCCCATATGGCCCGACTACCAGCACAAGTCTGAAATCCCATTTAATGAAATACAACCTGGAGGTGCCTTTGCTGGGTCAGCCGTGTGCAGCACTGAGCCCAGGGCTCACCTGCCTTCCTTGTGGCTGGTACTCCGGGGCCTGTGTGAGCTGCCCAGAACCGCAGCCAGCGATGGTTTTCTGGTTCACAAGACTTCTGTTGTGTCCGCCCTCAGGTGGGAAGCCCCCAACAGAAACCCAAGCGTCTGCGCCTGGTGGTGGATGTGTCTGGCAGCATGTACCGCTTTAACGGCGTGGATGGCCGGCTGGAGCGCTCCATGGAGGCTGTGTGTATGGTAATGGAAGCCTTCGAGAACTATGAAGAGAAGTTCAAGGTAATGGCACGAACTAGGATGGTAGAGGCATCACTTACCATGCCTGCCCAAAAGGCAGCCCCGAGTTAGGGCATGATGATGAATAGGTAGATGCAGGCTCTACCCAGAGTGGACAGAAATCTTCATCTTCCATCAGTTCATGTGTCAGCATAGAGAACGTGAGCCTCTGGTTTTATCTGCTGTAATAATAAAAACATAATGCCAGAATTTGAAGGAGCACTTACTACAGAAGAAAGCACTGAACTTTACAAGTTGAGTGATGCTAGCCATAATGTTAGCGGGGAGGAGAAAAGCAGGCACTTAGAAGAACCACAAGACGCTTCCCCACATTTCTCAGAGCCGCCTTCCTCATTCCAGCTTCCCCACCCCCATTCTTGCCCATCACCAACCAGGCAGCCTCCGAGGTTTGGGTACACCTCAAACTATGCTGTTCCCAGCACACTTTGCCTCTCCACTTGGGCGACCGTTACAGTAACAGGTGTCTCCCCAGCTGACAACGAAGATGGTAACCCTGGGAGACGTGCAGCCTCCATCCAGTTGTTCCCATCCTGCTGTTGCTCAGTGGGCTCTGCATCCTCCTGCAGAGTCTGAGCACTAGAAGGGGTCCCCTGGAGCCGGGTTACTGCCTGAGAGGCGCCCATCGATCCTCTCTCACTTTGCAAGCCACAGAGAGCATTCACACTCCAGCCCTTTCCAGAGCAAGTAGCTCTGAATCGGAAGTTCAGGTGAAGGAAATGGTGCATGTGCAGACATGTGTTAGGGCTACACAGTCTGTCCATAGACATGCTAGATTGTATTCTGGATCAGGTATGTCCCTCAGATATCATTGAGCTTAGATCATTATTTGGCTGGACATCCCACCCAGACTTCAGGATTGCTGGGTGTTAGTGGACACAGCAAAAATAGCGAAACCCATCACCCCATTTACTGTAGGCCAATTTGTGAGGCTCGGAGTCTCCCAGGGCCCCTGGTCTGATGCTCTACGTGAGAGATTCCCCTTAGAATTAAATAGCAGGGAAAAGGAATGCTCTGTGTGGCCAAGCTCTGTAGAGCACAGGATACAAATACAAATAGAGCATGGACTTTCACTGGGGAGTATAGCTTTGTTTCCTTTAAAGAAGTGGAATGCATTTTCTCTATGGAACTATTGAAGATTCCCACTTGGTTTTCATTGCCAGGAAGCTCAGAGCTAAAATCAAAGACCAGCCATGACCCTTTGTTATGTCTTACAGCTTGCAGACTGGTGTTCAGCTTTTCCTTCCTTTGACCCTCCTTCCATTTAGATATACCTTTTCCTTGATTTTGATATTTTTACTTTTTATGGATTTACATAAAATGTTTATTTTTTTTAATATATGTTTGTATTGATTTCAAAGAGAGGAAGGGAGAGGAAAAGTGGTACTTAGGCGAGTGTCTGGAGGGAAGGGGTAGGGGCAGGATAGGGAAGGCATACTCAAGTCCTGTCCTGCAGATGCCTCATCATGCCCATGGACTTCAGAATTGGGGTTGCCTCACAGGTTTACTGGCGTTTCCTCCTTCCTCAGACAGGAAGCAGACGCAGAAACATTACGGGCTTTTCCCAGTCGGAAGGCTAACTGGAGACAGGGTGGGATGGAGCCCAGGACTCCTCTGTTTCTCCCCCCCCCCTTTTGTTTTGTTTTGTTTTGTTTTGTTTTGTTTTGTTTTGTTTTTAAACTGTCCTCTTTACTTCTCAACTTTTGAAAAATTTTAAACTGACAAAAGAGTTGAAAGAAGAGTAAAATTAACACCGATATGCCCCCACTTAGATTCACCAATTGTTACTAATTCCCCTCTTTGCTTTGTGTTTCCCTCTAAATATATATACTCAAATATATATACTTAACCCCACACCCTGAGTCATTTGAAAGAAAATTATAAACACCACAATGCTTTACCTCTAAATACTTTATTCTGCTTCTCCTAAGACTAAGGGCATTCCCTAAGCAGCCTCACTACAATGATCACATCTAAGAAACTATCAATGACTTCATAACATCTTCCAATATCTAATCTAAAATTCATTTTCCCAACTATCCCAAAGGTGTCTTTTCTACTTGTTCCCCTCCACACACACACACACAACCCAGGATCCAGTCAAAGCCCACACCTTATTCTTGGTTGTAATATCTCGTTAGCCTCTTTCAATCTGGAACAGCCGTCACCAAGGCCACTCTGTTTTTCATGAAGGTCACTGTCTCCAGAGTCCAGACCAGTTGTCTGTAGAATGTCCTTCATTCTGGATTTGACCAGCTCTTTTCTAATAGCGCCATTTACCTTGTCCCAGAGTCCCCTGTATCACCAGAATCCTAACAGGCTTTCCCCCAACGCCAGATACACTGGGGACGTTGCTTAATATTCCCGCCACCCCTGCCAACATATATCTAAGACTTTGAGTGGCCACAGGCCACCCAATCTCTGCTGGGGCTGTCCAGGTCTCCTTTGTAGAGGGTGCAAAGGGGGTGGATTTGGGGCATCTTCTCGGAGACATTTGATGCATGCACATCAGTGGCAGCATAGCATTCTCCTCTGCTCTGTGTCCTTACATCACATGATCATATTCAACTCATTTCATCCCTCTGTGCTTTCATTTTCTCTTGTGAAAGAAGCATAAGAACTAGAATAACTCATGAAGGCATGGAATTTACTCAGCAATATAAAGTGATGCATGAGCAAAAGACAGCTTTAGGAGTTCCTGGTAAAATGTATATTCCAGAACCCAAGATGGCCCTGCATGTGGTGTCTCGGAATTCAGAGCTGTGCTCTGAGACCCCATCCAGCCCCAGACAGTTCTTCATCGCGTTCCTGCAGTTGTCCCTCTGCTGTGAAGGTGTCTAGTCTGAATTTGCTTTGAAAGTGTCAGAAGCCACAGTCCTGGCCAGTGATCTGGACTCTGCCATGAAACCTCTCTCTTGGCCTCTGCTGTGTGTTTTGTTTGGCTTGGGCTCAGCTCCTGGGCGCTGGGTCATTACAGTCCAAGAGGCTCATTAGAGTCAGCGCATGTTTTATTCTACCTCAGCACGACCCAGGCCAAGCCACAGGGACCCTGGAGCAGGAGTGACTGAGCAGGAAAGGGAATTCAGTGGCGGGACCCATTTCAGAGCCATGGGGGGTTTTAAAGTTCCTCTTAATTGTTCTACCAACAGAATTGAGTTCTCTGGGACAGCGTTTACATTAGGTCACCAAAGACAGGAGCAAGATTATTTGCTAATAATCAGCACAAACTCCTCTAATCTTACCATCAGCAGAGTTTTTAAACACGAGAGTGAGAAGTAGAAGGTAACAGTTTGTGAACCATTTTATTCACGTCAGGAAGATTTCTTTTCTTATCTTTATCCTGGTATGGCCTTGTGATTTCTCCACGCCCCCGGGAATGTTTCACCATAATTTTAAATTAGGCCTCTTCTTCAAAAGCTCTTAGTGCCTTAATTTTTTTCTTCAAAGTACTCAATAACACCAAAAGTTAGCTGACTGATTCTGCACAGAACACTCAAATAGTGACACCAGAAAGCAGATTTATTTAGTTATTGACAACTTGGATTTTTTGGGGGGAAAGTACTAAAATTTATTGTTTTTGTGGAAACATATAAACCATATTCTAAGGCCATGGTTTCCTAGCAGTCTAACAAAGATCCCTGGGAGGGTGGTGGGCAAGGGTGAGTGGCAACTTCTATTTCTTCCCTCTCCCTCCCCAATTCAGCCCAAACAATTCCACTAATATTGATAGTACCCAGTTTCACAATCTGGGCTTTTGCGCAATATTTCATGTGGAGAAGGAGTTCCACTGCTTAAAAAAAAAATTTAAGGTAGAAAACCACTATTCTAGCCCTAACCGGTTTGGCTCAGTGGACAGAACGTCGGCCTGCGGACTGAAGGGTCCCAGGTTTGATTCCGGTCAAGGGCATGTACCTTGGTTGCAGGCACATCCCCAGTAGGGGGTGTGCAGGAGGAAGCTGATCGATGTTTCTCTTTCATCGATGTTTCTAACTCTCTATCCTTCTCCCTTCCTCTGTGTAAAAAAATCAAGTATATTTGTGTGTATATATATATATGAAAGCCACTATTCTAGGGCCAATACTGGATTGTGATTTCTTTTTGGAAACAGGTTTATCAGTTCTCAGTTTGGTTTAGATTATTCAAACCCTGAACAGGAAAAAATAAGGCACAGGTGTTCCTATGACTAAGTGAAGCAGGCTTTTTACTCCATTTCTTGGGTGTACCATTGAATTTTCATAGAACCTTGGGGATAGGAATGACCTTGAAAATTATTTTTAAACTCTTCGTTTTACAGATGAGAAAATAAAGACCAGAGAGGGTAAATGCTTTGTCCAGGAAACACAGCAGGACTCCTGGCCCCCACATCAGGGCTCTTTCTTAGTTGATGTTTTATTCCCGCCCAATAGGTGTTTTTACAAAGCTGTAAGTCAGGAGCTGTACCATTTACATAAAGTATCTTCTTCTCCCCTTAACACTTCATCATCCCAAGGAGGTATAATAGGCACTTTTCTCAAAAGTATCTTGATTAGAAAGATGGGGTTAACTTACAGAAGGATATGGAAAGATATGACTCACAAACCAACACCTGCTGGGAAAATTCTTTCTATCAAAAACAGTTGTGTCTTTTCCCTGTGCGTTGGAAATATTTCACACATTTAGAAGTAGAAACCAATTGCCCTATCAGGCTCAGGATTTGAATAAATTCTTATTGCCATATGCAGATAGGACCAAAGAAGGGTGTGCAGACTTCTCTGAAGTTAAACAAGAATTTGGAATTGATTCAATTGTTGATGTAGCATTGGCCAAGCCAACTGTTGGTGGCAGCGGGAATGGCACCAGGTGTGAGACCGGTGGGGTGAGACTGGACCTGAGTTCAGCAGCATTGGTACTTGAGTTCTGGCTAGGAAAGAATTCAAAGCCAAGACTCAGACTATAAGAGAACATTTATTTGGAAAATCACAGGGGTAGAAGTAATTTGTAAAAGA